CAACAACGCCACAATGGCAGTATCCACCAGCTTCAGCCCTCATTAGCCAGAAGCTTGGAGGGCTGGAGAGGCCAGCGTAGCCCTTTCCTCAGAGGACAGACAGACAGACACGGAGCGTCTAGAGTGGCCGCAATGGCAGGGAACTTGGACTCAGCCACACCTCTAAAGAACCAGCAGGAGCCGTGGTGGTTCCTGGTGGCCGTGGAGCCCCTACGAGAACACCAGCGTCTCAGGGAATCTGCAGATGAGTGCGGACGGCCCCTCCCGTTCCAGCTATGTGACCAGGAGAAAGTGTCCCCTGAACAAGACCAAGTCCCTGCACCATATCACTGCCCTCCTCCAGCCCAGCCAGACTGCCACCCCCCAATGATGATTCTCGGTCCCTGCCTCACTGACTGCCATTGCTCATAGTAGCCCAGAGGTGGGTTTTTCCTGGGGCTTCCCTGGCAGCACTGCTTGGAACTAAGGGGTACATCCAGATAGCCTGGGGGCGGGCAGGGAGCTGGGGGGCCTGGGCCTGGACTGTGTCCTCCGCAACATGACCTGAAGTCACCCCGCACCTGCAAGGACCTTGCTTGGGCACAAGGTCTTCCTTTTGTCATCACTTAAATTATCGAGGTCACCTTGCAGTGGGTGGGGCCTAGTCCTGGCCCCTTCTGAGTATGTCTTACGAAGGGGAGAAGACATGGAGACAGTCCCACAGGGAAGAGGCCACGTGAGGACGCATGTAGGAGTGGCAGAGGGGTGGCAAGGGTCACTGGCTGCCACCAGAAACCAGGAGAGGCCTGGGCAGTTCCTCCCTTGGCCTCAGAAGGAATCCACCCTGTGACACTGGGGCGGCCAGTCCCCGGAACTGTCAGAACAAACGCCTGCTCTTTAAAGCTGCCCACTTGTGGCATCTTAAGGCAGCCCCAGGGGACTCAGACACTAGGGAAGGAAAGTCCTAGCCAGGTCCTTGGGCTTCCTGAGGGCCAACAGGCTGCACCCCCACCCCCACTCCCGGCCCTGTCCCTGGCCTGTCCAAGAGTTCTGAACTCCAAGGAGCCGGGCACAAATATTTGGAGGAGGTGGGGATGGAGGAGGTGTCAGAGGTGCCCAGCAACTCCAGGAAGTTTAGGTGTCTAGTCGGGGGTGCTCTCAGCCTGGAAGGTGCAGGTGGGCACCATGCTGGGAGACACCTCCAGTCCCAGGCTCCAAACCCCCGGCAACACGTCCTGGGCCCTGTTCTCACTGCCTCCACAGTCACCCACCTCCTTCTCCAGCATCCCCACACAGCCCACAGGAGGTGACAGAGGCCAGCCACCGGATCGGGGGCTCGGACGGGGCCTGAGTCCCGCAGAAGGCACCCACCTCCACCCTTGGCGTTCCAACACAGCCCACGGGAGGTGGCAGGGGCCAGCCACTGGATCGGGGGCTCGGACGGGGCCTGAGTCCCGCAGAAGGCACCCACCTCCACCCTTGGCGTTCCAACACAGCCCACGGGAGGTGGCAGGGGCCGGCCGCTGGCTCGAGGGCTCGGACAGGGCCTGAGTCCCGCAGCAGGCATAGAATTACAGGGCTTGCTCCCTTCCGGAACAAAGTAATCACACCCTTCACGCGGGACCCAATTTGCCGAAAGCAACTCTAGGGAAGCGGCTGAAACCTTCTTCACAAAAGGACCTTTTTCCTTAAAGTTGGAAGAAAGAGAAAAGCGAGTTTGGGGCTTGGGGCTTTGGTTACGGTCTGGAGGAAGCAGTCAGTGAAAAGGCGTGACTGGACCGTGGGTCGCGGCCAGCACACCCGCATCCCCAGTGCTCTCCACACTCCTGGGCTCCTCGCCCCCCACCGCCCAGGGCTTCCGGGTCGGCTTCCCGGATTAATCCCTTTATCTTCCCAGGAGAAGCTCGGGGTCAGAGGTAGACAGTGGTGCTCCAAGGACTGACGCCTGACCCTCGCCCTCTACAGCATGCTGCTGGACCCTCTGAGACAGGGAGTCCCCCCAACACCACACAGCCCAGCCGGCTCAGAGCCACGATGGCCCCAGGCCCCCGGCACTGTGGGCGGCAGGCTCCTGGGCTCGCAGCAGGCCGCCTCCCCCAGCTGTCCCGTGTGGCCCCGGGCAGCCCTTGGCCATGCTAAGCCTCACTCTTCCCTTCTGTAAAATAGGAGGCTTGGAGTGGAGCTCTGAGCTACACACGGGTGTTCAGGTAACAGCTGTGGTGAAGGGGAGCGGGTGCAGGGGCCTGAACGGTGCCCGGAGCATCAGGCCCCGGACCCAGCGAGGTCTCCTTCCAGGAAGATTTCACAGAGGAGGTTAAGGAAGGAATGGAGACGAGGTGACCCTCAGTGCTGTCACAAACGCCTGCTGGCAGAGAGTCCTGGCTGAGCCCACTGCCGGGTGAGTCTGCAGCCACTGGCCAGGCAGGGCCGGGTGTCTCTGGGGAACAAGATGCTGTCTGGGGTCCCTTGAAGGCAGCTCCCTGCTGCATACCCGTGGGTGGCACTGAGGGGTTCCTGGCACCTCCACAGAGTCCTTGTGGGGTACTGGGACCTGGAGGACAGTCCCCACTGAGGCTTGTCTGGCCAGCTCCAGGCCGCAGCCTAGCCTCGAGCCTGGGCGCCACATTACCACCTTCCTCCAGGAGGCATCCACTCGTTCTGCACCCCTCACCCAACCTGGACCCATCCCTGGCCACTTCTCCCACCAGAGCACCCTGCATGACCTCGGCTGGGGCCTTCCTCTCACAGCAGCCCCCTTCACAGCAGGGATGCCTTCCCCAAGAGAAGCAGTGCCCACTCTTCCAAACAGCAAACTCGTCTACAAGACACCACTCAAGAAGGGGCGTCTGCCCCAGCCAGCTCTGATGGCGGCCAGAGCAGAGTCAAGGCCAGTGCTGAAAGCCCCACGGCCCGCCCCTCTGAGCCACGCCCCCAGCCACCCAGCCGGCCCAGGTCCCCCGCCCGCCCTCTGCGCAGGCAAACCCGTTGGGTGAGATTTCCCCTCCACTTCCTGATAAACAAAGCCAGCCCTGCAGCCTCCCAGGCTGCATGCCAGGCCCCTGGGCTGTGGCTTGGCCCTGACACTGGGGCACATTGTCACCCCGAAACTGTCCGACCCCCCAGAGCCATCATACCTGGGCCTAAAGACCCGAGTGCATCTGATAGCCGGGCCCACAGGTCCACAGGTCCACGGGAGGGGGGTACAGGGATGGTGTCCAGCCCCAAAGCTGGCCTCCAGACCCCACAGAGCAAGGACTAGCCCTTGAGCAGGTTGACAGCGGAAAGAGAGAGGCTGAGGGTGTCGGGTGACGTGGAACCAGGGGACAGTCCCCAGTGGGGCTGCAGCCCACTGGTCCAGCCAAGCAGGCCACGGCAGGAGAACTGGGAAGGCACGGGGGCTCCTGGCCTCGCCTTCACCCCCTTCCCCCTGACCCTCCTCCCCTTCGGTGCCTTCCCTCCTGCCAGTTGCCCCCAAAGCCAAGCAGAAGAGGCTGAGGCGGAAGGGCCCTGTTGGCAGCCTGCCGGGCTTAAGGGGGGAGTGGGGGCCAGGGCAGAGCCCCACCCTCCTGTCGACCCTGACGCCACATGGCATGGCAGTGAAGGGACAGCACCCCAATGGCAGTGGGCCCTCCGGGGCCCTGGGAAAGCATCCACCCCCAGGCAGGACGAACCAGTGAGCCAGGGCTGACGAGGTCGTCTGAAGGCCACCAAGGGCACAGCAGAAGCTCAGCTGGGGACAGCCACCTTGGTCTTTGCTTCCCAGTGGTGGTAGAAGGGGCTCATGCCAAGGCAGAGAGGACAGCAGAGATGGCGGCTCCCCCAAGCTCCCACCACCCCCTTCCCGTCCCCACCCCAGGTGCTTGGGGCTACCAGACTCCCAGGCTGGGGATCAGCCAGGAGAGGTCATCTCCAAGGCGAGGGGCCCCCCAGGCACACCTGCCCATCACCTGGCACAGAGCCGGAAGGGACCCCTGGAATCCGGGCACCTGTGTCTGAGCCCTCGGCATTTCCACAGTCCTCCTGTGGAGACCACAGATGCACCACGTGGTGACGCCTGCCCCTGGGAGGGCCAGCGTCAAGCCCAGGCTGGGGAGGGGGCACTCCAGCTCTTCGGGTGGGAGCGGGGCACAAGACGCTGCTAAGGACGGGCCAGGGCCCTCTCCCAGCCCAGGGCACCTGGCCACTGAAGCTACCACCCTAGGAGCCACTGTGCCTACTGATGCTGCCCGGGGCCCCATGCGACCAGGGGGTCCTGGGGGCTCTGAGCAGGGCCCTGGCAGCCCATGGGGGCTGGCACGGACGCTCCTCCTTTCTGCCCATGCCCAGCTCTGGCCGGCCCAGCTGGGAGCAGAGGGTGGTGAAGGCCCCAGCTCCAGTCTTTGGAAGGAGACCATCTCCTGGTCTCTGAGACCAAGGCCTGGAGAGTGAGCCCCTGACCTGTCAACCAGCAGCTGGTTTGAGCTGACCCCACCTTACAGTGCTGCCCGTGTGGGCCAGAGGAGAACCGGGCCCCATGGGGTTCTCTGTGGCTGAGCTTTTGGACGTGATCCCCAGGCCTTTCCCCTGAGGGGCTATGGGTGAACTTGAACCCCAGCCCTTTGGGTAGCAGCCATGTGTGCTCGCCGTCTGCACCCCTGATACACTTTCAAGCACGTCCCTCAAAAGGTAAGTAACAGTCAGGACATCTTTATGCTCCCTTCAAAACAGTAAAACACAAACTGGCTTTGTTCTTGGAATCAACGGCTGAGGCTAACTGACCTACTTTATGCCACTTTAAGTCACATAGCTCCGATGACATTGCCGCAGCGAGGACAATTTTCCAATGGCTCCGCTCAGAGCAGGAAGCCAGATGGCTGGGGACCCACGAGTGAGCCGAGGACACCCCCACTCCCCTGCTCCCCACAGGTCCCTGGTCCACAGGGCGCAGGGCCATCATGACGTAGGCACCAGCTATGCCATCTCACTGGCTCAGGGAAGGGAGCTGCCCACCTGCACACACTCACCTGGTCTGGGAACCAGAGTCATGTCTCAAACTGAGTTAAGAGCTCCCTGATCTCTGGGGCGACGTGTCGTGCGGCGTTTGCAGCCTCGGTTATAGCTTTCCGATACATCCCCTTCTTCTTACGGTTAAATCTCAGTTTGAAATATTCAGAGAAAGGGGCCAGTTTTGAGAGAGACAAGAAGGACGTAGTCGGAGACCCAAACCACGAGACCTTCGCTTCTTGCCAAGAAGGCTCCTCATGGTCCTTCTGGCTAAGGCTGATGCCGAGCACACGGGCCGGCCACCAGGGGAAGCCGTGCACCTTACCCCACACGACGTCCCCCACGGCCACGGTCCTGCCGTCCTCAGTCACACACTTAGACACGCTCTGCGTGTGCAGCCTCACCGTGAGCGGGGGCACGGTGGGGCGCACATCCTTGGAGGACGAAGGCACCGGTGCGCCGTCACCAGGTGACAGGTCACACGGGTCTGCGGACGTGACCTCTGAGCTGGACGACTTGGACTCCTCGAGGCTGTCGCTGCTGCACACGGACTCACTCACGGAGTCGGGCTTCCTTGTTGGGTAGTTGACAAGAAAGGCCAGGTCGCCCCGCCCAGGTTTGCCGCGGGGACATCGTTTGTAGTTATCCTCTTCACCAGAACTTCCGGAAGACACATCCACCAGCCCGTCGCAGGCAGAGCCGTTGGCAAAGAGAGCAGGGGGGCTGGCTGGGTGGCCGTTCAGCGCCTCCACCAGCTCAGCCCTGTACACAGGCTCCTGCTCCCGGGCTCCCGGGCGGTGTGGCTTCAGGCGGATCTTGGGAGGGGGTGCGTCCAGGCCTGGGGGCGCCGGCCGTGTCAGCTTCAGCTTGGGGATGGAGGCTGTGGGAGCAGCGGGCAGCCTGCCCCCGCTAGCCCTGGGCTCAGTACCTGGTGCCTCTGAGCCTTGACTGTTCCCGAGTGGCACCTGCTGGGGGCAGAAGGGCTCCAGGGAGCCGTGCACGCGGGAGGGGATCTTCACCACCTCGCCAGTGCCCTGGGGTGTGCTGTAGGAGATGGTGATGACCGGGCTCCTCGGGACTGGCTCCCCCGGTGCCCTCTCCTCCTCCCTCCTGCTCCTCCTCACGGGGACTGAGGCAGGGCTGGCGGGCTCCAGGCCCTCGTGTCGCCGTGGCTCACGGTCAGGGCCGCTGGCCAGCCTCCTGCGTGGCGCCGAGGCAGGGGCTGGCCGCGCAGAGCCGGCTTGCTCGGGGCTCAACGTGCTCTGACACTTCTCACACAGGACGCGGCGGGGCCGCAGGCGGATGGTGCTCAGGATGAGCCGGCCGGGGGCACGGTTCCGGGAGAGGCGCCTCCGTGTCCGCTTGACGGGCCTGGGCGGGGGCTGCGGCACCCACTGGCCGTATGTGTGTCGCAGCCAGAGGGGGTGTGGGAAGGGGGCGCCTTCAAAGTAGGGCGGGTAAGGGGGCAGGCTTCCGGCGGGCGGCAGTGGCACTGCTGGCTCGGGGGGCCTGTCCCCACTACAGGGAGGTGGGGAGTCCATCTCCGGCTGTGTTGCCTCTCTGTCCACCTGCTCGGGGGTCTGGCCATGGCAGCTGCTGGCAGGGGGTTCCTGAGCCTTGGGCAGCAGAGCTGGCGGGGGCAGGCCCAAGAGGCCGGACCTGGAGATTGGAGACAGAAAGAGGGAATGAGGGGACTCAGAGAGCCATCTGGAGCCCCTGCCTCCTGTGCCTGCCCCTGCCCAGCCTCCCCCGCTGCATGTGGGGAGGGTGGCCTCAAGGGCCTGGCAGGACTTCTAGATGATGCAACAGACCCCTCATGTGTGCACATGTGTCTGTGCGTGTGTGCGTCTGTGTGCAAGTCTGTGTGCGTATGCATGTGTGTTTGTGTGCATGTGTCTCTGTGTGTGCACATACACATCTGTACATGTGTCTCTGTGTGTATGTGCATGTGTCTCTGTGTGTGCACATACACATCTGTACATGTGTCTCTGTGTGTATGTGCATGTGTCTCTGTGTGTGCACATACACATCTGTACATGTGTCTCTGTGTGTATGTGCATGTGTCTCTGTGTGCATGCATGCATGTGTGTACGTGTCTGTGTGCATGTTTACGTGTGCATGTCTGTGTGCACCTATCTGTGTGCATCTGTGTGTATATGCATGCATGTCTGTGTGCGTGCACACACTGTGTCTGTGTGTGCTTGTGTGTACACGCACACATGCATCAGGCCTCCCAGGCAAATTAATGCGCTTTATGAGTAGGTTTCGAGCCCCGAGTCTCCCCCCTGGTCTGACAGGCATGGGTGCCCTGTGCCTCAGCCCTTGTCACTAAGGGTGGCACAGGGGTCACAGCAGGAGGACTCCCAGGACCTCCAGCTGAAGCGTGAGGACCCAGGAAGCCCCGAGCACAGGGTCTGGAGCAGACGTGTGGCCTGGCCCGGCTGGCGTGGGGCACTTCCAGAAGATACCCTACTGTCCACGCCCAGGTCTCTAGCTCACTGGCTCTCCCCACAGAAGGTTCCTGAGGGGCTGGAGGGAGACCTCCAGAGTGGCCTCTGTCCCCACCTGGCCTGATGCATCCGTGTGCCCTGTGAGGGCAGTTTGGCCTGGGGCTGAGCACCACTGAACACCCAGAATGCTTAGAACCCTAAAGGCCCAACTCTCCACTGCCTCTTGGAGACACTTGGGGAGGGTACCATCCACACCTCCCACTAGCAGGCCTGCAAGGAACTCTCCTCCCACTGGCACCCTAGACCTCCCTACAGGAGCCTCCGGAGAGGGCTGTGGAAGACCCTGGAAGCCTCACCAGCCACAGCCCTGCCCCTGGGCTGCAGACTCAGGGAACAGAGCCAGGCCCTCAGCTGGCCCAGGCTGGCACTGAGCCCCTTCAATCAGAAGAGCAGGGGCTCCAGGAGATGAGGCACCCTCTCGGGAGGGTCCACAGCTAAGGCCACGTGGTATGCTACCACCCCTGGGCTCCCAGCCCTGAGACACCTGAGCCAGGCCCCCGAGAAGTGGGTCACAATGGCAAGCTGGCGGCCTCCACTCAAAGGCCTGCAGGCTGGTGGTCTGCCAGAACCCGGCAACGTCAGTCCCTCTGATTCTGAGGATCTGTCCCCAAAGTGGGCGTGCCACCTGCATTCTAGAAGAGGGCTGTCCCTAGGCTGTCACAACAATGGGCTGCTCACGGCTTCCAGGAAAACAATTGAGGAGATGCCACTGTTCGCATAGCGTGAAGCAAGCCCAATGCACTGCCTGGGTAGTCGATGGCTGTGCGACTCTGAGCAAGCGTCTCACTTTTTAAGACGACTTCCGCTAACAGCAGTGATTCTCTGAGCAGAAAAACAGCCGTTGGACCCACTGGCTCTGGGTTCTCAGTAGGACGCTTTGCCACATTCCTGCTGCTCCCCACTGAGTGTCAAGAACACTCCCTCCCAGTTTCAACCAGCAAGAATGTCTCCAAGTATCACCTGGGGTAGGGGGGCTGCCCGAGCTGAGATAGCTGCGAACCACTTGGTTTGAAGAAACAATGAATTGGGTACGTGGGTTGGTGGGGGATGAAAAGTTAAGACACGCTCTCGAATAAAAAGGGCCCACACTACCTTTGGCAAACCAAGAACCGATACAGCTTCAGATAGTGGGAAGATGCCTGGTTGCAAGGCTGGGGGTGGAGGGGGCCGGCCAGGTGGAGCAGGGGCATTTTCAGGGAAGTGAAACCATTGTGTGTGCTACCGCCAGGGTGGACACATGGCATCACGTGCTTGTCAAAGCCACAGGGCTGCACACAGTGTGAGCCCGCATGGAACTGTGGACTTCAGTCAGGAACGTGTCAGCGCTGATTGGTTCACCTGGCCCAGCAAATGCGCCATACAGATGACAGGAGGGACGGTGTGCAGGGCAGCGGCAGGGTGTTCTGGAACCCTGTACTTTCCAAACAATTGTCTATAAACCTAAAACCGTGCTAAAAAAAGTCTTCGATGAAAAGAAATGGACTCTTAGCTAAGAGGAAACAGGTTCAGACTTTGCACCCCCCTTCTCCAGTTTAGCCAGAAGGTGGAAGAACATAGAGGGCTTTCTGCTTCTTCTGTTTCCAAAACAGCTTCTACGGGAAGTCTAAGAAGGCTAAGAGGGGCTGGTGGCCTCTCACTGGTGGGACACCATCTTAAGGTCTTGCCTCGGCCTTCAGACCAGGAAGCTGCCAAGGTCCAGGCACTGCCCTGGGCATGGCCAGGCGGGGATGGGGGCTGGAGCTGCCCACCCACCAGGAATAGACAGGCTGCACGTGGTCAGAGCCTGAGGTGGGGGCCTCTCTGTCCCCCACCCCCGAGGCACAGGCTGGGCCTGGCAGATGGAGTCAGGACAGCTTGGCTTCCGATGGTGCTGTTCTTGGCCACACTGCCCCACCCCATGCCAGTAACATCCTGGGCTTAGAGAAGCAGGGGTGCCCCTGCCCCAGAGTACTACTCCCTGGCCCTCAGATTGTGACCTGGGGTGCATGCATGGGGGGCAGTAGTCTGCTCCACAGAGGCAGCCCTAGACGTCACATGCCCAGTGAGCCACCCTGGCAGAGGGAGACTGCCGCACTTCCTTCCTGGAGCCAGTGGCCCAGGCCACAGCCATGACTCGCCTGGGGACCAACAACACAAGTGGCCCAGCCCCAGGCCCGGGGTGGGGGCCCGCCTCCTGGCCCTGAGTCTTAGACGGGCGTGAGGTCTAGACCTTCACATCACTGGGGAGAGTGAGGCCATGGACTTGCCCAGGCAGAGTGGCCCTCAGGGCCTGTTCCAGCAGCTGCCACTCAGGCCTCTGACCACTCAGCTCTGAGGCCTGGGGCCCCGTGATCTGCCCCGGCTGCTCTCAGAGCACTCGGGTCGTCTCAGTTCAGGCAACTCAGCTCCTGGCACAGTCGGGGTCCCCAGGGGCACCCCCGCCAGGTTCTCCCTTCCCTTCCTCCCCAGACCCATGTCTGTCCTGGTTGGCTCAGCAGGCCCCTGGGAGAGACCTACCCAGGCCTCAGGAAGCTCCAGGGACAAGCGGGTACCTGCCAGGCCCAGACCAGGCCCACACTGCCCCACGCGCCCTGACCACGGTGGGGCCCAGGCCCAGGGCGGGGCCACGCTGCCCCACGCACCCTGACCGTGGCGGGGCCCAGGCCCGGAGTGGGGCCACGCTGCCCCACGCACCCTGACCACGGCGGGGCCCAGGCCCGGAGCAGGCCCACGCTGCCCTGCGCACCCTGACCGTGGCAGGGCCCAGTCCTGGAGCTGGCCCACGCTGCCCCACGCCCTGACCGTGGTGGGGCGATGTTGGGCCCAGAGCGGGGTCCATGCCACCTAACACACCCTGCCAGAGCTGTGCTGGGTGCCCTCTGGCCTCACCGGGTCCTACACCGTGAGTGGGCCAATCCAGGGTGGGAAGGAGGCAGGTGGGAGGGGTCCAAGGATGAGGGATGACTCATGAGGGTGGGGGCCAAGGCCAACCCGGCTCAGGCCTGGGAAGCAGGCTGGACAAGGCCTCCCCACGGAAGACTCGGGGGCCAGGAAGCGCACCTCAGCTCAGCATGCCGGGAGTGGGGGACAGTAATCTGGGCTCTGAGGTGAGGCTAGGGAAACTGAGGCAGGGATGAGGGATCCTAGGGGCTCACTGGGGAGTCAGCGTGCCGGGGACACGGGGTTCCGCAGGCCACCAGCTCCCGTGTGGCAGCCGCCTGCTCTCCCTCCCATCTGTGGCCACTCTGTCCCCAGCCGTAAGCCCTGTCACCCTAGAACAGGGCCCCCAGGTGTGTGCGAAGCTGGGGAGCACGGCAGCTCTCCAGGCCGGCCCAGAGCAGGCCTGAGTCCAGGCCCCACCCATCCCGTAGGCAGCTGTGCGCCCCAGGCTGGGCGCTTCCGGGGCAGCCAAGGGCTGGGCCGAGGGTAGACAGGGCCTGCACACCCTGCAGGGGAGACAGGGCAACAGGCCTCAGGCATTCTACCACCACCCAGGGGGCAGGGGCCCAGGCTGGACCGGAGTGCAGCCCCGCCCCCCGGCCCCCACCAAGCACTTGGGGGCCCTCACCCTCATGGCCTCCACATGGTGTTTGGGGGGCCTGGCTCATGGGTTTATGAGCTCAGCTCTGGCCAACCCCTCTTAGCCCTGGTAGGGCCCCCCAGCCTCACTCAGATGACACCCCCTCAGAGACACTCCCGAGATCAGCCACGTGGCCAGCTCCCTCCTGTGGTGTCCACCTGCCCACGTAAGCCGTCCACCCAGCCCCTTGCCACTTAACCTCAGCTGTCCTCAGGCACACCCTCAAATCACTTGCAACAGCATCCACACCCAGGGAACTTGATGGTCACCGGGTCCAAGGAGGCCTGGTCATCTGCATCCACTGTGCTGGGGGCCCACTCACGGTGCTGTGGCCAGGACTCCGCCCACTGCCTGGCATACAGCCGGCACTCACTAAGTGCACATAACACGGGAGCACAAAGGCTCCGGAGAAGGTGAGGCTTGTACCGCAGGGTGGAGACTCAGACAAGAGGAGGACTCAGGCCTTCACTGCAGCAAGTCCACTCATGTGCTGGGTCTCAGCTCAGGCCTCTGGGCGCAGCTGTCCCCTCTGCCAACAGGGCACAAAGGGACTAAAACCACCTCCCAAACCAGCCCGACGGCCACCATTGAGCTGACCCCCAGCAGAGACCCAGGCATGCATGACCAGGCTCCAGTCGGGCCAGGGGGACACACGGTCCACACCCAGCCCTGGGAAGCAGCTGGATGACCACTGCCACCCCCACTGTCAGCACCTCAGTCCCCTGAGCGAGGTGGGCAGACCTGAAGTCGAAGCTGCCAGCTCTCGGTGCCAGCCTGTGCCCACTCTGGGCCTGGGCTTCCACTGCACAGCCCTGCCACCACCATGTCTGGGGCACCGTGGCCCACTGCAGTGAGGAAAGCAGATTCCAGGGACGCCTACTGCCACCAGGGTACCAGGCCTCCAGGGTCCTGCCGGCAAATGGGCTGTCACACTAGCGTTGGCAGCACGATGACGCCTAATGTGAGTTGAGAACTGGGATGGACCAGGATGGGGTGACAGGCAAAGAGAAAAGGAGGGCAGTTGCCTGTAGATGGGTGCAAGGGAGGGAGCCCTGAGGGCCGGCAGGGGCCTGGGTGGCTCCTCTAGGACAGTGCGCAAGGACACTGGAGCCAGTTCCTGGCAGAGCGCCAGGCTGAGCAGGCACACCGCCCCCCCCAGGCCTGCCCCGGGCTCTGTGGCAGCTCCAGTTACCATGGAGTGTGGCAGCCACAGGGTTGCCACGCAGCCCCGCTTCCTCCCCAGGGAGGGACTGTGGGATCTCCCGTCCAGGCCAGTGGTCATTGGGAGGGAGGGGAACGCAGGTGGGGGCAGCGAGAGGAAAGGGGAGGAAGGGAGAGCCCCTGCAGATGTCCCCGGCCCCAAGCTGGGGGCTGCCTCGGCCACCCGAATCCTGACTCAGGGAGCCCAGCAAACAGTGGTCCTCCCCTGCCCCAGGGAAGAGCAGCCAGGCGGATGGGCGCAGCCGGGCGCCCTCCTGGTCAGCAGCTGCCCAGCGCGGTTACTGCCGCCCAGAGCAGGTGCAGCAAAGCACCCCCGAGGGAGGCGGCAGGGGCTGTGGCAGGGGCTGGGTCACTGTGCCCCAGAGCTGGGTCCTCTGTGGCAGCCCCTGAGTGCCACTGTGTCCTGCCAAGCGCCCCCGTGGCCACCACAGGAGCAGGGCAGCAACACAGGGGAGGCCATGTGTCAAGTCACATGACTTGTACACAAATGGCTCCTGGCACATCCAGCGAGGAGACACTGTCAGCAGGACCATCCTCACAGCCCACGGGCCTGCAGGCCCTATCCCCCAGGGGCAGAAGCTGGCCTCTGCAGGGGGCCATCACTGGGCCCCTTTAAAAAAGAAAGTCCAGCAAGCCCTGGGACATCGGCGTGTGATTAATGCCTAATCATTTATCCGGAGACAGCTTATCACCACGTGACCGTATCCAGGAGACTCGTCCCCCTCGCAGAGACACTGCGGCAGCGCACAGGTGCGGGAGGGGCGCTCGCAGGGGTTTGCCCCAAACCTCGCGGCTCAGCTTCCCACACCTGGGGCGGCTCTCGGGTAACTTGTGCGCGGCTCCGTACCCCGGTGCGGGTCTGCGAGTCCGACTCGGGCCACAACCTCTTGCGTGAATCCAGACCTCAGTCTTCGGTCACTTCTCCCAGCCCGGCGGAGGGCTGCGACATCGGACGCCACCGCTTTAACTTGAGCGCAAGTGACAGGTGACGTCGGACGCTCCTCTGCGCCCAACCCCCAAGGCAGCCCTGACACTTCTCGGCCGAATTCAACAGTGCGTCCGAACAAAGAAAAGTGCGCTCATGGAGCGAGGTGTGCGGGAGTTGGGGCGCCCCCCGCCTCAGGCTCCCACGCGGTGCCCCCAGCCCCCTCCGGTCCGCCGGGCCCGCGACGCCAGGTCTCCCTTCGCCCCGAAAAGTCGCGCCCACTTGCAAAGCCACTTTTGCCCCCAGGGGCGACCGCGCTTGCGCGCCCGGAAAGCGGCCGGCAGCCGCCTAGCGCGGGGCCGGGGCGGCTCACCTGTGCGTGCAGTCTAGCAGGATCCCGGTGAAGCGGCGCTCGCCGCCGCTCCAGGTGACCACCAGGGCGCCGGCGGCCACCCGCTCCACCAGCACCG